AACCCAACTTTCCGCAGGAGAAAACCAACGTCTGTCCGTCTCTTTACCCAAAATATGCTTTTTTTGGAGGCGTTTCCACCCAAAACCCAACTTTCTGCAGGAGAAAACCAATGTCTGTCTGTCTCTTTACCCAAAATATGCTTTTTTTGGAGGCGTTTCCACGCAAAACCCAACTTTTTGCAGGAGAAAACGGCGTGTATCCATCCTTGTCCCCGAAAACCATGTTTTTTTGGACTATTTTCCACCCAAAACCCAACTTTCTGCAGAAAAGACCAACATCTGTCCATCTCTTTTCCCAAAACTGCTCTTTTTTGGAGGTTTTTCCAGGCAAAACCCAACTTTTTGCAGGAGAAAACGGCGTGTATCCATCCTTGTCCCCGAAAACCATGTTTTTTTGGACTATTTTCCACCCAAAAGCCACCTTTCTGCAGGAAAAAAACGACGCGTGTCCATCTCTTTTCCCAAAAGATGCTTTTTTTGGAGGAGTTGCCACCCCAAACCCACCTTTCTGCAGGAGAAAACAGCGTGTGTCCATTGCTTTTCCGCCAAAAAATGTGTTTTTCAGGCAATTTTCCATCGAAAAACCCAACTTTCTGCAGGAAAAAACGTGTGTGCAGCGCTTTTCCCAAAAACATTTTTTTGGTCGAGTTTCCACCCAAAAAACACCTTTCTGCAGGGAAGACCAACGTTATGTCCATCTCTTTTCCCAAAAGATGCCTTTTTGGAGCAGTTTCCACTCAAAAAAGCATTTCAAAATGCGGTCCAAACCTTGCAATAAAGCGAAATATTGCCCCAAATTCCACGTTGTGTCAAAATTGGGTGGTCTTGGGTGGGCGGGCGCCGAAATGTGGACATTGTGAGACATTTTGGGGGGAAAAAACTAAAAAGGGGACAATTTGCGGCAAACTTAGGGCTGAAAATGGGGTTTGGTGGCCAATGGAATGGGGGGTTGGGAAAAAAAAGGGAATTTTAACACAAAATGAGGGAGGGTTGGAGAAAAAAAGGGGATTTTGACCAAAAATGATGGAGAGTTGGAAAAAAAGGGGGGATTTTGACCCAAAATGACAGAAGGTTGGGGAAAAAAGGGGGATTTTAAATCAAAATGAAGGAGGGTTGGGAAAAAAAGGGGGATTGTGACCCAAAATTAAGGGGGGTTGGGAAAAAGGGGAGATTTTAACCCAAAATGAGGGAGTGTTGGAGAAAAAAGGGGATTTTGACCCAAAATGAGGGAGAGTTGGGGAAAAAAGGGGGATTTTGACCCAAAATGAGGGGGGTTGGAAAAAAAGGGGGGATTTTGACCCAAAACGAGGAGGTTTTGCGGCCTCCAAGATGGCTGACGCGGCCTGAGCCGCCATTATGAGGCGCCTCGGGGCGTGGCCTCTCCAGCCAATCCCGCGTGGGGGCGTGGTTGGCGGCGTCCAATCAGAGCGCGGCGCTCATTTGCATGGGGCGGGGTATAAAGGGGGCGGGGCCGGGGGCGGCGGGGGCCGGAGC